GTGGGGACAGTGGGCAGCTGCCACACTCTGCCACGGCATGCAGTGCGTGTGCTGCGGGGACCTTCTGGCGCACTCACCTCTAGCTGGTCCCCGTGGAGTTTGGTCCCTCCCTGAAGGCAGTGAGAAGCCACTCTGCCCGTGTCACCGGGACGAGGGTCTGAGAAAGCTCCTAGCCTGACGCTCACTCTGCTCCAGCGGTGACTCAGCCCTGTTCCGGGCATGACTCAGGCTGGCAGAACCTGCGGTAACACCCCCAGCCCTCCCACAGCCTCCATGGGACCAGGAGGGTGCCATGCGGGTGAAACGGGGCACCCTGAGGCACCCCCTGTGACCTGCGTCACAGCCCTGCACAGCCTGGGGGATGCTGAGGCAGCGCTGGAGCACGTTACCACCAGCGGTGACTCAGCCCTGTTCCGGGCATGACTCAGGCTGGCAGAACCTGCGGTAACACCCCCAGCCCTCCCACAGCCTCCATGGGACCAGGAGGGTGCCATGCGGGTGAAACGGGGCACCCTGAGGCACCCCCTGTGACCTGCGTCACAGCCCTGCACAGCCTGGGGGATGCTGAGGCAGCGCTGGAGCACGTTACCATCCCGTTCTCTCCGAAAGCTGGCCAGTAGCTCCTTACCTTGGCCTTGCCCCACCACTCAGCTACCAGGGAATTTTTTTCACTGCCCTTGCTGGCTATGGAGGTAACCTCGCTCTCCAGGGAGAGACGTGCGAAGGCTTTTGAGGCCACCAGGCTGACTCCTGGTCAGCAGACGCTGGTGAAGGTGGCAGGTGTTTCTCCCCAGAGGGAGAAGGGGACCCCACGACTCGCCGAGGTGCACAGCAGCAAGTCACCTCCCCAGGGAGACCCCAGGACCCAGCTCCTGTCGCAGCAGGAGGCAGCTCGCAGGGGGCCAACGCTTTCGCAGCAGCGAGGGCAGCTGCAGGATGGTCCCTGTTTAGCCCCCTGCTGACCCCAACACAGCCGGTTCCCGTCCACCTTGGCCAGAGGGAAGAACCCAGTACCCCTCCACATATTGCAGGTAGGTTCTGTAAAAATATGGATTAGTGGCTGCCCAGTCAGCTTGGGACTGCAGAGATTAAATGTTCTCTCCTCGGCGCACCCCTTCCTCTGCCTGTGTCCCCCATCGCCACGCCACCCCAAAGCACCAGCCAACCGCCCTACCTTGGGCTACGCAGTTGCTCGTCTGATCCCAGTCATAAGAGGAATCTGCGCCCGCCACACTCCATTAAACACAACCACCTTCAGCTCGGCAATCCCACGTTAGGCTCCGAGAGCGCTGGCTGGAAGCACCGAGGTCTGCCCAGCTCCCAGGCTCCCTCCAGCTGGGGTTCTGGCCCGTGTTCCCTGTGCCACCGCGCCGGGAGGCTGCAGGAGACGTCCCACACACCCACTTTGGCTTTCGTGGTTCGTGCCTTTTCCTGGGTCAGGTGTTTCTGCCTTCCTTCCTTCCTCGGTGACGGTGTCTCCTCCGGCTGCAGCCTCCCAGGCAGGCAGCCCTTGCCCGGCTCAGCAGTGCCCTCTGCGAGTGAGCGGCGAGACACAGCCCAGCCCTGCACCCGCCCTCAGCACCCACGTCCTCCCTCGGGGACCATCAGTGGCTCGGGGACAGGAGACAGCAGCACAGGGATCGGGCCAGGACAGACACAAGCCAGGACATCCCCACAAAGCCAATGCCAGGAGGTTTTATCCCAGCCAACATCAGCACTGAACACCAGGTGTGCAGACATGGGACCCTGCGCCCGCTCCGCCCTCGAGTCCCCAAGGAACCTGGGCACGGCCCAGCATCGCCCAAGGAGCCCCGGGCCTTCGGCAGCCCGTGGCGAGAGAAAGTGGCAGCACTTACGCTTTGAGAGCGTCACACTGTGCAACTGCTCCAAGGCTCACTGAGCCACCGACCGCGGCACCGCCAGAGCTCGCCGGCACCATTCAGCTCTGCTGGGAGCCAAGACACGGCCAGTCCTGGCATTTTACAGCAGGAGCCCAGCAGCAGCCAAGTGCCACCCTCGGGGCAGACACCAGCACCTGCACCACTGCCCCTGCACCACACCCACAGCCAGCAGCGCTCGGCAGCCTGGGCACATCCCACGGCACGAGTGGAGACAGGGCCAGTGTCTAGAGGGACAGCAGCCACTGGGAACAAGGACACACAGCTGGCAGAAAACTGGACAGACTCTTTAATACCACCCTTGCTGAGAACATCTCACGCTTGTTGCCTGCTCCAGGAAGAGCAGCTGCCCGCGCTTCTGTCTGCGCCCGCTCATGGGGCAGAGGCCGGGCAGGAGTGTGGGCAGCAGGGGCAGGGACACAAATCAGGCTGGTTGATCCATCCGGGGCAGAAGGGGAAGACGACACAGGCAGGAGATGCTTTAGCCATCTCAACACACAGAGAGGAGCATTTAAAGAGCTCTTCCAGTGCTGTTGAAAGCTCACAAGAGCAAAGGCTCCTTCTCCCTTGCCCGCCAGCTCCGCACCGGGCAGAGCCCAGCACCATCCACCCCACAACGCATCGCCAGCAAGACAAGC